CCCTTTCGGAAACCGGCTTGTTCGGGAGGCTGGAAGTCGTCAAGTCTGCGCGCGAGACGATTCGTAATGACTCTCGAAAACAGCACGTAGACGCGGCCCAAAAGGGAAATCGGTCTGTAGTTCTTCAAGTGAGCGTTGTCACCTTTCTTGAAGAACAAGACCACCGCACTTCTGCTCCACGCCTCCGGTGTAATGCCACCATGGAGGACGGAATTAAAGAGCCTCTGAAGGACTTCAAGTACCGGTCTTCCACCCGCTTTCAGAAGCTCCGCTGTAATTCCATCCTCGCCTGGGGCCTTACCGTTTTTAAGGTGCTGGAGAGCCATTCTAATCTCGCTCAGACTGACGTCCGGGATATCTTCGGAATAGTGTCGGATGAGACTCGCTCTTGGATCGTTACTCACACTTGCGTGTGGCTCCAACGATGACGTGTACAGCTGCCCATAGAACCTCTCAATCTCACTCAAAATCTCAGGTGTCCCGGAAACGATGCTGCCACATTCGGTCTTCAGCTTTGACAGTTGGCTCTTTCTGGCAGACAGATCTCTGGCAAAGACTTTGGAGCCTTGGTTCCGCTCGATCGCTTCTTCAATACGAGCTGTATTGAAGTTGCGTAAGTCCCGCCGCAAGCATTTGGAGATCTGTCTGTTCAGATGCCTGTATGCTGTCAAGTCTGTTGAAGAATGTAGCTTCATCTCCCGTCTAACAGCCATGAGATTAAGAGTGTGATCGGAGAGTTTTTGTGTTCTTCTGCGGCGGGTCTTGCAGAACTTAGCTCCGACCGCATGGACAGTTTCCACGAGCTTGTCATTCAAATCGTCCACTTCATTGCAGTCTTCTAGGCACTGAAAACGGTTTTGTAACTCGAGCTGAAAGGTTTCGGGACTTTGGATTAGAGCACGAGGGGGACGGAGCGTTGACTTCATTAGACGAGACCTCTCCAACTTAACGTTTAGGTTCAGTGTGCCTCTAACCATTCGGTGATCGCTACCAGTTTTCACCCTCGCGATCACGGAGACATCACTGAACAGTTGTCGTCTGGTCGTCATAATGAAGTCAATCTCATTTTTTGTCGAACCGTCGGGGCTCGACCAGGTCCACTTCCTGTGGGGCCGCTTCTGGAAGAAAGAGTTCATCATAAAGAGTCCCTCTTTCTCCATGAAGTCGGTCAGCTGCTGGCCCCTTGGGTTCCGTTGCCCTATTCCAAATTTCCCTACATTCAGCTCACCGTTCTCTCTTGTGCCTAGTTTTGCATTGAAGTCTCCCATTAACACCGTATATTGGGTTTTGGAGGAATGCATGGCTCTAGAGATATCCTCATACATTTCCTCCACCTCCTGATCGGTGCCGAGGTTGGTGCGTAAACCTGTATGACCTTCAGCGAATACCGTTTGGTGATTCTGAGTATAAGGTACGCAACCCTCGTCGACACACTCCCGATCTTTACAACGTTGTTAACGAGAGACTTGTGGACGATAAATCCGACACCTCCTTGGGACAGATGGTCGCCCTCCCGGTGATAGAGCAAGTTCCCGGATTTGAGGATTACCGTGTCCTCCCCCTCTCTTCGGACTTCGGATAATCCGATAATATGCCAGCGCAACTTGTCTATCTCTTCTTCCAGCTCCACGATCTTCTCGTCAGTCCTCAGGGTGCGTGCGTTGTACGTTGCCAGGTCGAGTCGTCTAAGGTGGCAACCGAACCTCCACCGGAGATTATTAGCACCCCCTGCCCCGCCGTTACCATGGTCGCCACCGTAGCCAGGAATAGCGGGGCCGCCGGGGACTGGGGGCCGTCTGTTTGTTGCTTTAGTCATTGGGGGGTATTTGCCATAGTTGCCACGCTTGGCGAGCGGGTTGGCAACCGCAGTTTTTTTATTATAATTTTGGCTATTATCAGGGAGATGCTGCTGCCCATCTTCTGCCTGTTTCCCTTTGTCGCCTTTTACGACACCCATGGGAGGATATGGGGTAGTGGATATTCTTGACCGCCACTACACGGCAAAGCTGTACACGTTCAAGAGCAATTCTTATCCGACACTATTCCGATGATATCCCGGATGTCAGTCAGAGTGAGATAAGAATAGCTCTTCAGCACCTTAAAAACGGCAAGGCTCTGGGGCGAGGATGGAGTTACAGCGGAGTTTCTGAAAGTGGGTGAAAAACCGATACTTGAAGTCGTTCTTGAGGCTCCTTAATTTCGTCCTCCATGATGGGACTACTCTGGAGGCGTGGAGCGGAAGTGCTGTGGTCTTGTATGTCAAGAAAGGCGACAACGCTCTCTTAAAGAACTACAGTTATATTTCCCTTCTAAGCCGCGTCTACGTGCTGTTTTCGAGAGTCATTACGAATCGTCTCGCGAACAAGCCGGTTTCCGAAAAGGCTATAGTACCATAGACCATATACACACCCTTCGGCAAATTGTACAGAAGACCGAAAAGTACAATCTGCCACTGCCTTGCGTATGTGGATTATGAGAAAGCCTTTGATTCCGTCAAAATTTGGGCAGTGTTGCAGTCCCTTCAGCGATGCCAAGTTGACTGTCGGTATATCGAAGTGCTGAAGTATTTGTACAGTAGGGCTAGGATGGCTATCTGAGTACAGAACTATAGTACAAAACCTATCCAACTGCAGAGAGGTGTAACACAGAATGACGTTATATCCCAGAAACTTCACCGCTGCATTGGAAGACGTTTTCAAGCTACTGGACTGGAAAGGATACGGTATTAACATCAATGGCGAGTACATCACTCACCTTCTTTTTGCCGACGATATAGTCGTTATGGCAGAATCGCTAGAGGACTTAAGCACTGCTCAATGACCTCAGCAGTGTCTCCCAACGGATAGGTCTTAAGATGACCATGGACAAAACAAAGATCATGTGTAATATGATATAATAGTATTGTCCTTGTCTCACCTATGCCGGTAGTTGTTGGGAGCACTAAGCTCGTAGTTGTCGACGAGTATATTTACCTGGGACAAAGAGTCCGACTAGGTAAGACCAACTTCGACCGAGAGGTCAATCGACGGATTCAACTCTGCTGGGCAGCGTCCGGGAAATTGCTACACATCTCGTCAGGTATATCTCAAAACCTGATAACGAGATTATACAACCAGTGTGTGATCATATTTTTATTGTTTCTCGTTCGCCATCAAGGCACCTGCTAATTTTTACACTTTATACACTATCCCTGAGGGCCAGAGATCCTCTTGCATAAACATATTATGTAATTTACGTTATTTAACGATCGAAACGAACTTGATGAGCACGTTCTTTGATATTCTGTGGTTTTTGGAAACTCCACCAGTGCTCATTGTGCACGTTGTAAATTTCAACGCTAGTAAATATCGACTCGTTTCTCCTCAAAATGTTAGCCTGCGCATGGTCCTGCAGCCAATGTCAAAACTCCTTGCGTGGTCTGGAGTCTGACGCATGCAAAGCTTCCACTCGTGAGAAATTGTATGGATGCATATTCATTGCAGGAAGTAGCTTCCATACCACATACTGACTTACGCCAAATCGACGAGTGGCTTGCCGAGTGCACCTTCTCGGGTGTCGTTGGAAGTAGTCCAATATATCTATCGTCTTCAATGTGTTTATTCCAACGTTTATTCCAATCTTTACGTGGTAGAGCCATGCTTCAGCTATATTAGTAGTATAGTTGTAGTACGAATGGATCGGCTCGACCGGGGAAGGACCACGCTCTCACAGAATACCAGCGTAAAATAGCAATTGACGCTGCTGTGTTTCGTATGGTGAGTGTAGAGAACCGGAGACCCTTTTTAATGGCAAAGAGGCATTCCATCTTAGTCCTCACGGGTGACAACGCATCTCCATCTTGAGTCTTTATTGAGGATAGATGTAGATGTCTATGAGCTACAGCTACTACTTACCATCAGGTGGACTATATGCTCGTTTGTCACCCTATCCCATTAAAAAAACCAGTTACGTAATGTCCTTTCTTTATCTTCCTAACATTGTAACTTCGTACGGCGTCTATTCTGTAATTTTACGGCTAACTGCTAGCCTCCTGAGATCCAAGGCTTCTTTTGAGTTTTTGTATGGCCTACAAATAATTCCATAGGCCATAAACTTAAACATAAACATAAACTTCCATAAACTTCATTTGCTGGACATGGATGAACTTCTTCCGATGAATGAGAGATTTGCCTGAATCGTCATGCTTGACATAGAATTGACGGTCACAGAACCAAAACATGACCACCTTTGATTCTGCTGCATGTCGCCGGTCTGAATATTTTACATCTCAAGTAAACGAGGTTGTTGTACTGCCATCTGTCGGAAGCCATAAGATTTTTTCTGGCAAACCAATAGTCGCCTCTTAAGAAACACACGGGACAAAATGTGATAATGAATTCTCTTAAGCCGCACTTACACGGCAACTTCGGCTATTTATACTTACTATTTACATAAAATAGAGTTCGAAATGTATGTGTGTACAACACTAGTTCTGTGTGGAATTCGAAACAGGGGTTATTTGATTAATGTAATAATAACACGGTGAGAAGAACGTCATCATTATCATATGAATTTAGTTTCTCTACCATTCTTTCCCTCCAAAAATGACTACGAAAGACATTATTCAGAGTAATTGGCTAAAATACTTTATATTTAGCAACATTATTTTGTATAATTATGTAAAATATTATAACTTCTCTATTTCTCCCTGGATTAACTGATAGAGAATGCCATAAGGCATAAACTTCGCCCATTGTAAGAAGTTTATGGTGTCTTACAATAAATAAAATGTTTAATTCGTGTGCATTTCAGAACAGTACATCACACCGACAAATAATTTTTCAGAATCGTTTGAGAAAATGATTAAATCAAATTCTACTGATGGTGACCTAAACGATGCACGTAAAGAAAAAGTAGATTTTGAAAGCCCTACTATTAAATCAAAGCCTAAAGTGGAAAAAGATCATCAAACAATTAATAAAAACGAAAAGCATCCTGCAAAGATTATGAAAAAGAAAATTATGAAACAAAAGAATGTAAATATACTTACGAAAAAAACATCAGGGTCATCAACAAAATACGTTTTAGAATATAAAAAATTTTTAACCCAAGAGATTCTCGCCAAACACATTTCACACAGCCATGAGACGCAAAATAACTCATACACCACTGCAGTTCAAATACAAGTTGAGCAAACTCCAGTACCACAACTAACAGATATATTTAACTGTGATATCTGCGAATTTAAATCATCTCAAAAACGTTGCATTTTGGCACATCTTAAAACGCACGACGCTAAACAAGTGTACTGTTCTAACAATTCGGATTATAAATTTACAGATAAAAGAAATTTCCAAAGGCACATGAAAATACATACCGGAGAAAAACCTTTTTCATGTAACATCTGTGAATATAAATGTATTACAAAAGATAAGTTGCAAACACATATGAAAATACATACCGGAGAAAAACCTTTTTTGTGTAATATCTGTGAATATAAATGTATTACAAAAGATAAGTTGCAAACACATATGAAAATACATACCGGAGAAAAACCTTTTTTGTGTAATATCTGTGAATATAGATTTATTAAAAAAAGTCATTTGCAAGCACATATGAAAATACATACCGGAGAAAAACCTTTTTCGTGTAATATCTGTGAATATAAATGTATTCAAAAAGGTAATTTGAGAACACACATAAGAAGACACACCGGAGAAAAACCTTTTTCGTGTAATATCTGTGAATTTAAATGTATTACAAAAAGTCATTTGAAAACTCATATGAAATTACATACCGGAGAAAAACTTTTTTCGTGCAATATCTGTGAATATAAATGTATTACAAAAGATGAGTTGCAAACACATATGAAAATACATACTGGAGAAAAACCTTTTTTGTGTAATATCTGTGAATATAGATGTATTACAAAAGATAAGTTGCAAACACATATGAAAATACATACCGGAGAAAAACCTTTTTTGTGTAATATCTGTGAATATAGATGTATTAAAAAAAGTCATTTGCAAGCACATATGAAAATACATACCGGAGAAAAACCTTTTTCGTGTAATATCTGTGAATATAAATGTATTCAAAAAGGTAATTTAAGAACACACATAAGAAGACACACCGGAGAAAAACCTTTTTCGTGTAATATCTGTGAATTTAAATGTATTACAAAAACTCATTTGAAAACTCATATGAAATTACATACCGGAGAAAAACCTTTTTCGTGCAATATCTGTGAATATAAATGTATTACAAAAGATAAGTTGCAAACACATATGAAAATACATACTGGAGAAAAACGTTTTTCGTGTAATATCTGTAAATATAAATGTATTAAAAAAAATCATTTGCAAACACATATGAAATTACATACCGGAGAAAAACCTTTCTCTTGTGATATCTGTGGATATAAATGTATTCAAAAAAGTAATTTGAGAACACACATGAGAAGACACACCGGAGAAAAACCTTTTTCGTGTAATATCTGTGAATATAAATGTATTAGAAAAGATAAATTGCAAACACATATGATAATACATACCGGAGAAAAACCTTTTTCGTGTAATATCTGTGAATACAAATGTATGAAAAAAAGTCATTTGCAAACACATATGAAATTACATACCGGAGAAAAACCTTTCTCTTGTGATGTCTGTGAATATAAATGTATTCAAAAAAGTAATTTGAGAACACACATGAGAAGACACACCGGAGAAAAACCTTATTTGTGTCATATCTGTGAATATGGATGTATTACAAAGAGTAGTTTGCAAAGGCATATGAAAATACACACTGGAACAAAACCTGTTTCGTGAGATATCTGGTAAAATGTAGACATACATATTATGTAAACGTTTTTTTATGTATAAAAATACTAGCTGTACCCCGCGGTTTCACCCGCGTATATCACGCATCTGCGCCTCGCGACATGCGAACTTCGAAAGAGACATCACTACGGACGGTTGCTGAATTAAAAAAAAAAAGGTTTAGAAAGTGAAAATGTTGCTTGAATTACATGGTTAACGTAATTGGTGGTTATGCATGGTGCAGGTACTGATATAGCCTTGAATACGAACTGATTTATTTGGATATAGGGACTAATACCAAGGTACGAATAATTTTATCGTTACCGTTACAGCCTTTAAAAGATTGCTGCTGAACATAGGGATTACCCATAGATTGCCTCATAGTTCATATATATATTTACATCTCATGAGTAATCTAGCGTCCTACATAGGTGAAATTACCGATGATGTTGTGTCCAGTATACGGGCGCAAGATTGATCTGATCCACGCTGATAATCAGCCAACAGACTTCATATTATAGGTAAACCATCTGATGCATGGACGTTATTTCATCATTGCAACGAATTTCGGCGAATATTTTCAGAGACTTGCCTTACAATATTTGTAGGTCGCTACTTCTCGGCGTATATCGGTGCTGTTTATATTCCACTTCTTTCTCCATTTATTACTCCGCGTATCTTGCTACCGTATATTGTACATATTTTAAAGTTTTTATCAACTCAAATCGATGATTTAATTACTTCAGCAAAGTGAGCTTCCGATATGGGCTGTACGGGGAAGTAAAGATGAAAGGGGGCGGGAAGCTCTTACGATTCGCGCTCGGGTACATGGCGAATATTTGTTTACAAGCTAATGGTCGCTGGTCGGTCATTTGGAGTCCGTTTGGAGCGGTCGCTGCATAATCGTAAAAGTGAAGTGAGAATTTTAAGATCATCTTGTTTTTTAGTGTTCCGTACCTCAAAAGGAAAAAACGGAACCCTTATAGGATCACTTTGTTGTCCGTCTCTCTGTCAAGACCCTTTTTCTCAGGAACACGTGGAGGTATCAAGATGAAATTCATATCAAATACTCAAGTCTACTGTCCCTTAGAGCTGTGAAAAAATCAAACTTCTAAGCCAACACAATCAGAAGATACAGCCGTTTATGCCGTAAATTTTCGACATTCGCAAGGCAATTAAACCTACAGGGTACTTCCCGTGAACTCAGAATCTTGAAATTTGGTACGAAGCAACGTTTTATAGCACAGATAAAGGAAAAATAGCGAAAAGCATACATTTTTAGTTAAATCATATAATAAAAATATTTTTAATAATTTTAAACTTATATACCTACAGATTTGTTCGGAACCCTCGGTGCGCGAGTCCGACTCGCACTTTGCCGGTTTTTCTTAACATTTATTTGAATTGTAGATTTGTACTGATTTTATTTAAAAAATAAACAAAACCAATATTTGATTAATACTATTTATAATATAACAGTGGTAGAGCCACGTGGCAGCTTTTGCTGTCCGCACGGATGGGCTGGCTACATGACCTCATACCTGATAAGTACAAGTGGACGGGGGTGGATTCCCTTACCCCCCCCCCCCCCCCTTAACATGGTAGCGGAGTTAAATAAAACACTACCCCAGGGGGGTACCAGCACTTTTGGTGACGGAGGTCTCCCGCTGAGTATCCACGCCCACGCTACCTACGCTATTCTTCCTGAGCGTAGTTGCTTATTCCTCATTCTGCCCAGCGTATTCTGGCGAGGAGGGGGGGGGGGGGGAAGCTATCATTGCTCTTTCTTACTGAGACGCAGGTGTCCTATCCGGCTATACTTCGTATCCCTCCTACCCGGGATACAAGTTAGAACACTCCTTTGTGCCCCCGGATGGAGTTTGCGTATACGTGAGAGAGGACATCTGTTTTCAAACACCTCGGCAGTCTTGAATGTATGGACCTGTCCTGACTATGACCTGGACCTGTACAACAGATCCCATCTGTAGAGATCGTGATTCTCGGTGATTTTAACGCCCACCACGCTGGATGGCTTAGTTTAACCGATCATGCGGGTAGATCTGTTTATGACTGCCTCGGCATATGGTCTGACATAACTGGTTACTTCGCCTACGCGGATCTCAGATGTGGAGGATCATGCACTTTCCCTGTTGCAGCTTCTGCTGACCTTCATCTAGACGGATATAGGGGTCCGTCGATGCTCCTCTTGCCTCTTTGGACCATTGTCTGATCCGCAGTACGGTGCCACTCACGCTGTCTGCGCGTAACCGCCGTGTTAGCTGCTTTTGCTGGAGTGCTACCGAGCCTGGGCTTACGCATCAACGTGTCGGGATGCAAGCACAAGCGCTCTTAAAAAGAAATATAATTGCACCTCCAGGTCCTTCAAAAGTGTCATTGGCAAGGGAAAGTCAGAGCGCATCGGCAGAATTGGCGAGAAACTAGTTCGACTTCTTTCGGGAATACGGTGAATTCTGTTCTCTCGCCAAGGCTGTCCAAGGGAACTTCAGTCAGCCATCTCTATCATCTCTGCACAGAGAGGACGACTCGATGACGGGGGAACACGTTGCCGACCATCCCGTGGTGTGTGTGCTCCAATGCAGGATGTGCCGTTTTCACTGCGCTCGGTTCGCAAAGCACTCCTCTCCTTGGACCTTAACATCGAGTGGGCCTAACGGAGCCACTCCTATTGTGCTGAAGACGTGCTCTGGAGTTGGAACCGGTTTTAACGTATCTTTTTCGTTACTCCTACTCCCTAGGCGTAATTCCGAATTCATGGAAGACAGCTTTCTTACACCCGATCTCTAAAAAAGGTAACCGCTCTCATCCGTCCAACTACAGGCCTATCGCCATTACCTCCTTGTTCTCGAAAATAATGGAATCCATTATTAATTATCAGCTCATGTGGTACCTTGAGGAGCACCAGTTGATTAGTGACCGCCAATATGGTTTTGTCGAGGTCAATCAGCTGGTGATCTTCTGGTCTACCTGACTCATAGATGAGCGGAGGCAATAGAGTCCAAGGGAAGGCATTGGCCGTTAGTTTGGCCAATGCCTTCCCTTGGACTTTACTCGACAAGGCGGGAACCCGAACGGGTTCCAGCCTTGCGTTTTTGCTGGCACAATGGCTTGCATGTGAAGTTGGATGCCGCAGAAGAGGGCGCGCTATGCGTTCTGGTACGTCTTACTTGATAAGAAGATGGGGAGGAGTAGTCGTTTCACGAAGAGGGGCCGCCATAGATATGATAAATACATTAAAATTAAGGTTTATAATAATATGTTTGTAATATATATGTTTGTTTCTTTATAAATAATTGCTAACACTAGTATAATAGTGCGTTTTTTATTTTATATTGTAGAGATATAATTACAAATTGCTATATGTAAAATACATTGACTTCTTATCCTCATCGGCATTTTTACTCAACCCCCACGTTAAAAAATTTATTTACTAGTTAAAAAAGGATGTCAACTCCTAAAAATTTCAAATTTTCAAAATATCCAGAAACGAAGTCGCAGGCATGAACTACTTGCAAAATAATGAATATTTTGTTCTGGATAAATTTTCCAAAAAATCAATTTGAGCGAGTTATAACGATAATAATAAAAAAAAAATTAAAAAAGACACGCCTCGCGTGTCATACGCCACACACGAAAGTATTCGATGGCACGTCTGGCGTGTCACCCGCACTGAACCGGTTAACAGTACATATTTTAACAGATCTATCACAAAAACCCAAGGCTCTACATACATTTTTTTTTCAGCAAAATAATGTTTAAAAACTTTAATTCTAAACCAACTACTCTGAGGCTGTACAAAAGTGACCTCCACACTTTAACGTATATTTATGTAAATAAGCACTTTGAGTATTGAAGCAGATTTGTACAATAACATGAGCTTCTCAGGTAAGCAAAATCACAAGTGGTCCATGAGTACGCTCACTGGAACTAAAGTAAGAGTTACACAAAAAAGGGTAGTTTTTTACTTATAAGTTGTGGTTACAATAAATTAATTTCTGAATGTTTAAGTTGATTGTTTGGACAAACTGTTATATTTTCAAGATACGAGTATTTAACTAGCTTTAATCTGAATTAAAAACCTTGCAGGGTTTCTAAGAACTAATAAAATCAATGCTAACAAAAACATCCAAAATGTGTCAAGACGAATATGGATAAAAATAAGATTGATTTGTTTCAAACAAACTTCTTCTGATACATATTATCAATAGGTGAACATGCTGCATATTATTTTTGATTTCAAGAAAATAGTGGTTGGTGGTCCTGCCTCATACGCCGGAGGTGACATGACTTGACATGCCGCTTACAACAAGCGCGCTGCGTTCGTATCGTGATGCGCACGCGCCTCGTATCGCTTTACCACCTCGCATTGTGCTCACACCACGTGCTATACCCATAATAAGAGCCACGTCTACACCAAGCGCCGCGCCTGCGGTGCCACCAAGTGTGCGTACGCCACCACCTGTGCGAACACCACCGCGTGTACGTGCACTACTGCGTAAACTAGTGCCACCGCGTGTATGGATCATGCCACTGACACTCCCCTGACTGTATCAACGATAATACCAACATGCAAAAGAAAAACAAAATAAGCCAAGCAAACACAAAAACATTTTTTTAATAAAAAGCTCTTAATCTAGGTGGAATTCTGATCTTGGCGAGCGACTCATGCAGTTAATAACGGAAAGGCCAAGTTATTTTTTTTTTATTTGGGTTTGTACCCGTACAGAGCGGTGCCGCAAATCCCAGCAGTCGCTGCCAAGATCAGATCAGCCTTTGGGTGAAAAATAAAGATTAAACGTCTGCAATTTATTTCGGAAAATATAAGACGCAAAAATACTTTACTTTTCAAATCCTAATGCCCCGAGAATTTTCCAGTTCCGTTCAATAAAGTAGACCAAAGTACCCCAGAAGTTAATAATTTTAAATACATGTATTTAAAATGCAAATACAAATTATCTATTTTTATTTTGCATTTCAAATTAGTCTG